CCCACCAAATGTCTAACCTTCTTTGCATGTCATTCTGTTGTTCAAGTGTATAAATAAGTAAATTCTAACAAAACCTTAGAGTTTGGAGGCCTGAGTTTTATGATTGTGCTCTGACCTTCCTTGACCTACAGTAGTGCTTGAAATTGTTACTAGATGTGTTTGATGTATGTGGATGTTAAAGTTATTGACATACCAATACATCAAAAATCAGAATACTCTTCCCATATTCTAAAGCCAAGACACCATTAGATTTCCTATTTGTAGAACTAGAGTTTATAGTAAAGTGGTTACAGTTATGCTTCTAGAACAATAAGTTCTGTTTTAAGCATTTTTCCATAGATCTTTGTTTCCTGGGAATTACATAGTCTTCAAATATAGTCCTTGCTAAGAAAAATTGGGGTACATTCATTTTACCCCTAAAAGTCATTTATCATGCAGGAAATTCCCCTAAAATACTCTACACTATCCTGGTATGAATAAAAATAGTTCTTGTGCTCTAAGGACGTTAGGGTGGAACCTCAGCTTGCATACAGGGCATCACCAAGTTTTGTTCTAATTTCTGTTGCTACAACCAAATACCACAGACTGGGTCATTGGCTCATGATTCAGAGGCTGGAAAGTCCAAGAGCATGGTGCTAGCATCTAGGGAGGGCTTGTGTTTGTTGTATCACAGCATGGAGGAAGGCACCACATGGCAAGATAGAACAAGTGTGCTAGCTTGAGGTTCCTGTTATTTTCTTCTAAAACCACTAGTACTACCACAGCAACCCCATCTTCATATCCTGCAGCCCTAACGACCGCTGAGAGGTGCCACCTTTTAAAATTCATTTTAAAGATTTATCTACTTTTACTCAAAAGTCAGACTTACAGGCGATACAAAGAATCATTTTCCACCCGCTGGTTCACTCCCCAGTAGCTGCAAATGCCAGAGTTGAGCTGATCCAAAGCCAAAAGGCAGTATCTTCTTTTGGGCCTCCTACATGGATGCAGTGGCCCAAGTACTTAGGACGTCCTCCATTGCTTTCCCAGACCATAACCAGGGAGCTGGATCAAAAGAGGATCAGCCGGGACATGAACTGACATCATTTGGCATGTTGGCACTGGCAGGTAGAGGATTAATCTGTTGAGCCACTCTACCAACACCAAAGGTGTCACCTTTAAACACTCCAAAAATATTAATTTGGGGATTGAGTCACCAACACAGAAACTTTGGGGGTAACTTAGTCAACCCATGGATCTTCCTGCTCCTCCTCCTCCTCCACCAGCCATAATAAAACTTTTTTTACAGTCTAAATAATATTTCTTTACTGTGTGTCTACAACAAATAGTAAAGAATCTTGGGCCTCTTCACCAGTAAGGACATTTTTGACATCTGATCCCAGATTGTTCTGCTTGAAATCTATGGCCACTTTAACTAAGAACTTGAGATTTAGACAAAAATTATATAAGTTGCTAAACAAATTTTAATATTTCTATTATAAGAGGTATGGACAATAGCCTCATTGTCTTAATTAGCAAAATGAGTGGAGAGAACAGTAGAGCAGGCTTTAGCAGGAAGTGTTTAAATGGATGGTAAAGGTATTAGGCTTCAGTTCTATTATTTAAGCAATCTTTCATGTTTTGAATGAAAGTATAGTGGTTGGACTTAAGAGCTAAAATGTCCAAGGAAAGGCTGGAACAAAATAGTTTCACAAAGATCGATACTAAGCCTTTTACTTGGGACCACACTCACAGCCTGGTTGAAGACATGCCTACAGGTAATTTTTGAAGAATGTACCACATAATAAGAGAGCAACATCACTGCATGGGTTAAACTAAAGGCATCTGTTGCAGTTCTAGACAAACTCTTGAGAAAAAAAAAAAAAAAGAGGAACCTAAATAAAGTAATGAATGTTGAAAATAAAGTGGCCAAGGAGGATGGAGAAGTTCAAAACATCATCACATGAGTAATGCTTGAAAAGATCATAGATAACTCCAGACAAGGAAAAGAGGAAATTCAAAGCAAAGCAGATGCCCTCCAGTGCTTGTCGGGCTGTCCTGTAGAAAGAGAATTACCGCTTTTCTCTGTGGCTGCAAAGTTAAGTATGGGTAGATGGTGGGTAGATGGTTTGGGTGGGAGAAGGAGTGCATTTCAGCTGATAAGAAAAATGCTACTTTAACTCTCAAAGCTGTCAAGGGGATCAATTAGAGATTGGGCAATCACTTGGGAGCGTATTTCCACTCTTGATGGGTGTCTTCAGATATGGAGATGTTCTTTAAGTATTAAGCACATATTAATCACTGCTTTCATTCTTATAGCAAGCCCCAATATTGGAAATCCAGTTCTTTGTGTGATTAAAATGATTTTGAAGATCTGCAATAACAGTTTACTTTGCGCACTGATTATAACAGGTGAGAGCTGGAAGCTAACAAATGCCAAATGCAAATTTGTTCCAATTCCTTTCTAAATGTGGATCTGGAGCTAATTGTTCTGGCATTTATTTCAATGGGGGATGAAGCATTGTCCAACTGTAATTCAAAGTGAGGAAGAGGATGTTTTATTATCTGACCCAAGAAAATGAACAATGGTACATAAGGGATTTGCAAAAGGAGAACATTCAATCTGGAACTCACCAGGGAGAAAAAGAGCAAGTTATCTGAGTCATTATTTAGAAGTAATAGAATTGCAAAACCAGAATTAAATAAATCAGTTGTTGCAATCAATTTTCAGTGTGAATTATTAAAAAATAAAAATTATTACTTAGATGTACTGCATAGACAGAACCAAGGGTGCAGATCATCAGGGCACTGGTGGTAGCAGTCCTCTCCTCCCACTGGGAACTTCTGCCAATCCCAGGTGACCGCCCATGAGCGTGGCAGACAGCATCACACAGATACTATGCATGGCAAATTGTTTTGTGTCTGATTTCTTCTCTATTTTACTTTGGGGATGTTCAACCATTTTACTCCAGGTAAGAAAACCTAGGTAAGAATCTTTTATTCTTAGAAAACATTTTTTGTATTGTGGTTCTGCAACAGGATGCTTCCAGACTGAGGCTACTGCACATCTGTAGCTATGGACTTGATTGTAATTTTCATACATCTACATAGATATTTTTATTGGTTAATATCTAACAATGGAATTGCCAGACAGGAAACTTGTGTAGACTTATCATTGGAAATAAAACTTTACTTGTAGCACTTTTCCAGGCTGTCTATCTGTGTATGAAAATTCTATTTGCTCTTCATTCTCTCAAACATTGTAAGTCTTTTGCATTTTAGCCATCTGCTTGTGGTATTTCATTGCAGGGTTTGTTATAACTTCACAAATGGCTTATATAGATTAGCACCATTTCATGTTGCTATTGGGAAACTTTCTTTAAATTATCTATGTATGCTACGCATGCTAATTAAATAATTTTCTTTTACTCATACACATTCAATATGAGTCCTTTGTCAGTTAAACTATATGTCTCTCTCACCTCATGACTTGCCTTTTTACTCTCTTTATGATTTAAACTGGATGTAAACTCTTTTTACTCCCTTTAGGATGTAAAAATGGATGTAATCTTTTATAAATCATTCTTTAATAGTTATTGAGCCTTGTCATCTCAATAAAAACGTCTCCTTTAATGATTAGTTTCCTATCATTAAAAAAGTCTTTACATGTCCTGACATCATGAAGCTACTCTTTTTCATTATCTGTTAGGGATCTTATCATCTTGCCACATTTAGATCAAAAGTACATGCAGAAATAGAGTGTTGAAGTGGGAGGTTATTCAATAAGCTATCATTTAGCTTACAAATTTCCAAGTCATATGTGATTTACAAGATAGTTTTAATATCTATACATTATTAACTTAGAGTATTGTCACATAATACTAGCAAACACAAAGCAGTTACCGTCTTCCAGTCTTTGCAGTTTATCTGTGAGCTTGTGCAGTTTTGGAAAACTACATGAAGGGTGCTAAAAGGAGAGCAGGTGGTTTGGTGTTGTGGTTCAACACCACTTGTGAAGTTGTGATGCCCATGTCTCAATTTTAAGTGCCTGGGGTTGAGTTCTAGCTTTACTCTTGATTTCAGCTTCATGTTCACACACTCTGGGAGGCAAACTCACATCCAAATTCCTATCACCGATCTAGGAGACTCGGATTCAGTCCCAGCTCCTGCCTTTGGTGAGGCCTGGACCCAGTTATTGTAGGCATTTGGAAAGTGAACTATCAAATGGGAGATCTGACTCTATCTGTATTTTTTAACTAGGAAAAAAAAATCATAGAAAGGGAGGCTGTAGCGGGGGTGGGGGCAGGATGGAGGGAAGAAGCTGTGAACAAATGCTGTCCTTTAATACACTATAATTTCAAACAGTTTCTCTTCCAAGATTCTGAATAATTGAAATGATTTTAGTGTTTTCCAAATGTTAGGTATCAGGAGCACAGTGAATAACCAAAGTGATCAAAGAAGCAGGCTTAGGTGACCAGTGAGAATTTCAAATTTTTTGTTAACTGGAAGGAAATATTTTATGCACCCCCTATAGACACAATACTCATATGTATACACACATAAACATGCATACTCACACATAATCACATACCTACACACCCTCATGGACAGACACTCCAAACAAGCTCCTGGAAAATGGAATTAGAGGATAAGTTTATTTTATAGTTTATTCATCGTTTTTTCATAATATGGATTTCAAATTTTTCCACACCAAAATAGATAATCTTTAATTTCATTTTCCACGAACTTTTTAAAAATTATTTTTCAAATTTGGAACCTAAAGCAGTTCATCTCCATGAAGCACTTTTTGAATGTGTGGAAAATCATTCATACTACACATGTTTTATCTTTGTTTTTTATCATATCTCTTTTACCTGAAAACATTAATTGGCATTAAATAAAAATGCTCCTCAGAATAATTAGCAAGCCTTAATAAGTATTTCCTGACACTTGGTCTCACTGTGTTGTTTGAAATGGTTTGCGGTTTTGTGGTGTGTTGACACTCTGCGGAATCTAGAACACTCTGGCTTCCTTGTTGGGTGAGTCGTCCAGGACCTTTGAGAATGCACACAGAGCATGCATGTACCACAGCAACCTTGTGATTGGGAGAGAAGCCCATTTGGAATTGAGATCTGTACCCCATCTCCTCAACTCACCCTGGGACATTTACACTTTCAAGGTAAGAACAGAAGCCTTGGGTGGGGTCACATGAATGAAAATGAAGCGTAATGAAACTGCAGTGAATGGGTCAGTATGTATTCTGACCACACTCCTCTTTGGCAGAAAAAAAAAAGAAAACTGTTCTATATTTCCCGTGGAAGACCCACTTAGCATGCAAATGAAATCAAGCTTTATTCATGATTAAATATGAAAATGATTTCTAAATCAGTTAGAGAATTCCAGCTTAAAATGTCATAAAGGACTCCATGTACCTGGTATCACTTTTACTTTTAATTATTCAAATGCTTTTCCTTTTCATTAATTTATTGGCTTATTTCAGAGATAGAGAGATAATGACAGCATGGTGGGGAGGAGCAGGAAGAAACAAATATGCCCGTTGCCCAAACTGGACAGGCCAGAGATATGAGACAGAAACTCAATCTGGGTCACCCAGGTTGGTGGCAGAAATCCAGTTATTTGCATCAACAACACTGCTTTCCAGTGCTTGCATGAACAGAAAGCTCAGGAGATAGAACTTTGAACCTGGACACTCTCAAGTGAGTTAGAGATAACTTAATTCCTAGGCAAATGCTACCCCAGATGATTGTCTTTTAGTAATTTTTTCCCCCTATGAAAGCCCTTTAGCTCCATCACTGATAGCATTGTCATATATGGTACAGTTTAAACTCATTCTGGCAGACCTGATCAATAAAAGGAAATAGTCAGTAGCAGTTAGGGAGACATTTCTGACAGAAGTATATCCAAAGTATTATGTGAATTAATGGTACTATAGTTCTTTTTATTCTATTTTTTAAAGTACTACATGACACAAAGAACATGGAAATAAATAAGAATTGCATGAATAAAATATAAAAAAGATCTATTCAAATGATTTTAAGGCAAAATTCCTTCTCTGCCAATATTTCCTAAATGCAGAAGTAACATACTTAAAACATCTGGAATGGACTATAAAATGTAATGTAAATTTACTGACAGATTTTTTTAAATAAAAGGCAAATACTTTAGACTTTGTAGGCCAAGGTGAAAACTAAAGAGAATATTAGTCTGTGTTGATGTAACCATATATATGTATATATAAGAAACATATAACCATTCATGTACATCTATGAAAGTCATTCTTAGCTCATGGGCTGTCTCAAAGTGCGAAGGGCGCTGGAATTAGCCTAGGGACCACTGTTTTCTAACTCCTGTTCTAAGCAGCTCTTTTCAACAAGTGCAAGGTGGAGAACATAGGCTAATCAGAGATGCTTAGTATCTGATCAAGGGACCCTGAGGGAGTCCACGGATGGTATCGAGCATCATCTACCAATCTCTTGAAATTTCACATTAATACTGAGTGTAAATAATTATGTGCTTTTTTTTTTAATGGGAAAAGTGATTCACAGATTTCATCAAATTTTAAAGTGCTTCAAAATCCAATAATGTTTAAGAAACATAGCTAACTAATTTTAAAATTATTTTGTTATCAGTTGCAAGGTAGAGTTACAAAGAGGGAAGGGAGAAAGAGAGAGATCTTCCATTTGCTGGTTCATTCCTCAAATGACTACAATAACCAGAACTGAGCCAGGTTGAAGCCAAGACCAGGAGCTGCTTCTAAGTCTTCTAGATGGATGTAAAGGCCCAAGGACTTAGGCCTTTCTCCACTGCTTTCCTTGGCACATTTGTAGGGAGATAGATGGAAGCAGGGATTGAAACTGACACCTAGATAGAATGTTGGCATTGCAGTGTCAGCTTAACCCATGCCACAATGACGGCCTCTGCTAACTAATTTCTAAAAGTTGTTTCCACATCTAAAATTCAGTGCATTTATAGTTACTGACTGTTAACTAAGTATTGGCAATTGGGCTGCAACTATAAGAGATTAAGTTCTATTTGTGATTCACACAATGTGTCAAAAATTTTTATAAAGATTTGAATATGTATAAGTCAGTGGTATCAATAACAATGAAAAAAATCACTGATCAAGTATTTCTGAGACATTTCAAACCTAGTTCATGAGCTATACCATATTTTCTTGTCTAGTCTTGTTTTGGCTAGAAAAATAATTTGATTCATGACAATCATAATCAAACTTAATCTAAGCAAATTCCCTCATAAAATATGACTTCCTAATTATTGTATTTTAGAGTAATGATTGACACCTAGTAAGTCCCCAAGGTTCTTGGAATGAATATGTAAATAGATTAGTGAATGAATGAAAAAATAAAGACACTAAATGCAATTACGTGCCATAAATATTAAATGATAAAATGTGCTAAAATTAGTAAATTGTTAAGCCCAAAGACTGATTCTCTTTTTAAATTTGGATGCAATTGTGATTTCAAATTATATTGCCAACTAAAGATTACAGTTCCTGAGGATTAAATCACTTTTTAAAGAAAAGAGTGAAGTTTGCTGAATTTAATTAACATGGGAGAGTGAAATACTTCTTATAAGTTGGCCAGTAACCTACTCTGGAATGATCTGGCTGCAGAGTGAAGGTTCGTTAATGAATGCTGCTATCCTCAGCCTTTGAGCTCTTCCTTCCCTGACACCAGGAGGGACACTGTCCCAGCTTGTGCGGTATATAAAAAGACAGGCTTCACTGGGCAATCAAATCTCCAATATCTGGGACAGCACTCTGCTTCCTGATTCGGAAATCCACACTGAACTCCTTCTCCTGCACAGCTGATGATGCCAAGTGCAGAGCCCCATTGACCAAGGATGTTCCCAGTTAGCTGAACATGGGACAGTTCCTCTTCCTTTACCTCAGAAGCTGTTAGGGAAACAGCAACACACTTGCTACCTGCTCGGAAAAACAGTGAATCTAAGCACTGTACTCTATATTAAATAGCATCCCTTGCCCATTTAACTGCCGAACGGAGATTATATTCTTGGATTTCCTTACAAGTAAGATGAATCTAAGCTATGGTCCAAAGCTCGAAACATTCGTTCAGGGCACTTCCTGGAGCAAGATCTCATATAAGGGGTGACAGGAAACTTAGTCGCTTCTCCAAGGAGTTCAGACTCCATTCTTTGCATATTCTACAGAGCCAATACAGGGACCCTTCCACTCTGCTGTCCTTTGCAATGTCCCAGAGGATCTATGTCTTTTCCTGGTAGGCTCTACTCTGAAGTCACACTGGCTTCTTTAATTTCCTCTCAAGCAGAGCTTCTACACCTGTAACCTTTAGTTTTAAGAAAACTTTTCCTTCAAGGACACAGTAAATATTTTAGGTTTCTTGGGCCTCCCAAATGATGCAAAAGGAGTAGGCATGGCTCTCAGCAGAAAGACTTTTGGTTTATAAAACATACGGGCAGCCCATGACTGTAGTAGCTTGATGGTTTGATGACAACTTAAAAATGTTACAAAATAGTGTAGGAAAATATAAAAGTTAAAGATAAAATTGTCTACCAGAGCTATCAGCACTGACTAGTACAGAAAGTTCCCATTTCTTATTTTAATCCTGGCCTGAACCATGTTGCTGGGACTTAATCAGTAAAACAGGTCTGATGTCTGTTTTCCTCCTGGCCCTCACTGCGGCATATGCAGGTTCTGTCACCCTCCTTTCCACGTAGTTAAACCTTAGCTAGGAAAAGGAAGAACCAGGCTCCTATCCTCATTGTCTCTCACAAGGGGAAGGCTCATTGAACAAAACTGTGGTCCGAGTCTGATGCATTTCTCATGTCATAAGTTGAATTTACCTTCTCTATGCATGACTAAATGATTTATTAAAATTACCATTCCTTGACTAAAGGGAGGACCTTCACTAAGGGATCCTGTTTCCTTTTTTATTACTATAATGGTAAATCACATAGAATGTACCATTGAAAACACTCTTAGCATATAGTTCAATGTGTTCAATACATTTACCTTGTTGTACAACCATAACCACAATCCATTTCAAGGAAGTTTTCATCATTTCAAACTGAAACGCTGTTCCTATTAAACAATCACTTTCATTCTTTCCTTTCCCTAGCTCTTGGTAATCTATTGTGCCTTCAGACTCTACAAATGTATTTTAGGTCCCCGGTATAATAGAATCATTTATTTGCTAATTTGTATAAACTTTTGCTTCTACTTTTGAAATCATATGAAAAGTAAATACCAACCTGTCTCAGCTTTCAGCCTCTTCTGATTTGGAAATATTAGAATCTAGTCTCCAGCCTGTTCCCCTACTCTACATCCTGTTGCTCTTGCAAACATATACCACAATCCTCTCTTTTGATGCTGAAATCTACGCCTGTGGTGTAACCACCAAAAACTCCTAGTCATCAGGCCCAGTACAAAGATTGCTGATGCACAGATGGGATCATTTTCATCTCTTTACACCATCCAGTACTGGCACTCACATGACAGTCAATACCACCTTGCACCAAAGATGATTTTAGTGCCATTTGATTGCATTGGCCCTAACTGTCAGGGTATAGTTCTTATCCTATACAATAACCTAGTGAAAAGATTTAGGTGAGCCCATACAAAGTTCTCAAAAAAAAAAAGTGGCAATTGTCACGATCATGTGGTACCTAATGCCTCTGTTTCTCTCATCTCCATATTCCATGTGTATGTAATCTACCTTATAAACATCTGAATCAAAAAAGATGACTTTATTGGTCTATTTCATACCTGTTTCCACAAAGCAAATTTGATACAAGCATGCTTAGGTTTTCTTGAGCTTTTTTAGGAACAATACTTTAAAAGTAAATTAAATAAAAATTATTCCATCAACTTTAATTTTTATGTTACTGATATTTGATAGATTCAGAGATATTTGCAGCCTATGCATTCTAATAAGCCTTTATCTAGTTGTCAGGACAAAATTTATACATATAAGCAAATGCAAACACTATAAATCTTTATGAATATAATTTGTCAATGATTTATGGTTTAAAAAAGAGGAGGTACATATTTTGCTTCTTGTTTTATTTTTTTCCATAACATTTAATTAGGAGAGGTTGCAAGCTTACAGTCATTTTTGCCCCAATGGAGAGAAATTTGAAACAGTACAAATCAGACTT